GCTCAGATTATGTTGTTAAAGGATGCTATTTTTGTGAAACCAACTAATCTGTGATTATGTAAAAGCATGAGAAACCACAACAATGGCTGTAAAGTAACCACAGATACTTTTCTTTGCCCCCTTCAGGTTGGTGACTAGTTGGGGTACCAAACCCTTCATAGGTGCAGAAAACAGCTGAGAAGTTCAGGGACCCACATGTAACTCCAAATCCTTAAACAGACAAGTGAGAGAATTGTTCCTCTGGGCACAATCAGCCCAGCAAGGACAGTATTTTGCAGCCTACAGTGCAGATGTGACAGTTCCCCTTATTTGTGATATCTCTTGGAAGCAGACTTTGTCCAAGCATTGGCTTATTACAGGGCTCCTGATGATTGTGAGGTAGATGCTCTTGTTTTTAATATATCCTTTCAAAAAGCTTTCATTCATAAGCAGGCAATTAGGTTTTGAGCACAGAAGCAGGGCTTAGTCCAAGTCTGCTGATCTTCACAATGATTTTTAATGTTTTTATTCATAATATTTTTGTACACAGAATCAGCGTGCTTTGTGAGCTCTTCATTCACYGCCACAGAAAAATTGCTGTAAAAGATGGAACTGGTAGTATCATTGTACATCTGATTTGCCAAGTGAAAACACAGTGGATATGTTATTAGTACGAAAGTAGGGAGGTGGGAAGAGGATTTTTATTTTTGAGGTTCATTGATTAACTACAAGTCTGTCAGAGGCAGTTATCCTATTTTAAGAAAAATGTTGAGTCATCAGGAAGCAAAATATTACCAAAGATAGCAGTGCTGCCATAAGGGTTTAAGTCTACAGATTTAACTCTATGATCTCTTCTGATACTGGTGGGCACTGGAATGTATTTTCTTGTTGTCTTTGACACATTTTGGTATCTGCTACGATGAGGGGATTTTTATATTTTCAAAACATAAAGCTAGTAAAGCAGGATACTTCCTGCAAGATGTTGACTACACTTGGATGTGGTATATAGATAAAGTAATTTCACTATTTGCTGTGTTGCCCTCCTTTCTGTCCTTGCTCACTACAACTTTTTGGTAGATAAATTTATGGAAGATTGACTGTCAAGTGTGAGAAAATGTAAATTTCTTTTTTAATGTACTAAAATACTAGCTTCTGTTGCCTTTGGAATCAAATATCCTTAATCAAATCCTTGGAATCAAATATGCTTAAAAGTTGGCATGTGAGAATATGTTGCTCTTCAGTTCTGCCAATGATACAGGCTTTATATTTAGGTAATTATATCCATAAACAAATTTCATTCCTTCTGTAAAAATTAGACGTATTTGGTATGGTTCCTGGTAACCTGTGATAAAATATGTTGGAGTGCCTTACAAGTTATTTTTAGAAYAGGGTAAAGTGTAGCCATGCAAAAAGGTATTTTTTTTATATATTTGTGCCAAGAAACTATGGGATGCTTCAACTGAACTTCTCCTGAATGCTGTGATCTGGATATTTGATTCCCTCTGAGGAATCAACATGGTAGACAAAGGAAGTCGAATTACTGCTGCTGGTCTTCTAAGGACAYAACATCTGAGTGGTTGAGAAATTAAATAATTAAATAAATATTAGAATAACAAAATATTTGATGTCAAGGTATCAAGATGTATGATGAAGGTGGGATATGGAAGGAGATTAGTTTTGAGRGTTTTTCTCATTTTGTGTGTATATATAGATAAAGTTTACATTTTATTTTTCAGAACTGATACCATCTCATTTAACCAATTTTCACTGCATSTTTAGGATGTACATTGTGTGGGAGAGCCTGGTTTGTTAGTGCTTAATAAATCCTTAGAGCTGCATAGATCGAGAGAGAAGACCTGCTCCAGGTAATGAGATGATGTAAGATGTGCAGATTTGAGTCATGCTGCATGTGAGTGACAGTGGCAGGACCCTTGGACATGCTTTGGGGATCTATACCCTGTAGGGCACCTTCCTAATGGCAAGTGAGGCTTTGCTGTTATTGCAAATTTACTTCTGTCTGCTCCTTTTCCAATTCGGTCATACTTGAAAATGCCATTTGCTTCATCTCAAATAACACTTGAAGAGRCAGATGCATGAAACTCACTGCAGTGCAAAGGGAGGTAGAATAAATACAAACTTCTGTCCACTGACACAGTCCTGAATATGAAACTGCTTCTGAACTGCTGGGAGCCAGTAAAGGCTGGCAGCACTGGCACAGTTACCATAGAGGTGGGATCATTGTCCTGTTGCTTCTGAGCTTCGATGGGGTTTAAACAGGCTAATAATAATAAGGTCTGATGTGTAGTGCCCTTCTGGCTGCATTCAAGAAACAAATCATTTGGTAAATTAAATATTAGTATAATAATAGTGTTCACATGTAAACATGGCTATTCCAACGCACATCCCACTCAGTTACACTCAGTGATCTGGCATTGGAAAGTACCAATGGAAGTACTGTAAAGAGATCTCTTCAGTAAAATAACTTTAAATTAGGGGCAAYACTACTTCCTAAAGTGCTCTCAAATAGTTCTCAAACAAATCCAGCAACTAAGACTCTTCAAAGAAAACTAAGAACTGTATCCAGAGCTAATTCAGCTCTTGAACAGTATCTATCACATCTGCATGTTCATGAATATTGGACTGAACAAAATGTAAAGTCCCATGGTTTCCTACTGGAAGACAAAATAATTGTTTTCTGGTAGCCTTAGTTTGCCATCCAGGAAGCAGTGGAAGTATTGATTACCTGWGAGCTTACCCATGTGTGAGGTTCATGGACAGCAAATGAGCATGTGGRTTTTCAGTGCCAGATCCTCCTCTGGATTACCACAAATGTGAATTTTTAATTTTTTTTTCCCTTACATGCAAGTTAGAAAGTCCTTGGAAATTGAAGAATATTGCTTTGTACGTAATGCATACAGTAGTATCAGCACAGGGAGTTAGTGAGATGTAAATTCAYACCCCAGTGTAATGTGTCCTAATTTCTCCAAGCCCTAGAGCCATCTTGTTCCTGAATGAGAGCACCCAGATAGAGGTTTAAATGCATTTATTAAGGTTTCTAATTGTCCTGCTGTTGAATAACCTCAAGCATTTCTGCCTTGTTGGAGAATGAGCTGCTTAATCATGGAGACTGGACAGGTTTAGTTTGCATCTGGGCTTTGTTTTTGTTTCTGTTTGCTAGAACCTTTCCCTCTGTTTGGTGGGATGTTGTAACACACACTCCTCCTTGACTTTGAAGGGAGTATTTGGAAGTAATGTTTCCAATGTTAGATATTATTGGAATCATTTAACAATGATTCCAATGTTAAATAAGTACAAATGGAAGTTAGTTTTAGTGTGAACTGGTATAAGCAAAAATTCAGTGTGATCTGTAACCACATATTCCCACCTGCCTTCATTTATCTGTTCTGCCCAGGCTTTCAGATGGGAGGTGGCACACCTGTGCTAGCAGTCAGTTTGGGAATACCAGTTGGGAATGTGTGGTGGTGTGTTGTTTCCAGCTGACTCACATTTATTATCAGGCCCAATCTGAGAAAGGATGTCTCTACTGACTCTTGTTTTATGAGTAGTAGTATAATTCTTTCATTAGACTAAAAACTTGTAGCAAAACAGCTGTCTCTTCAGTTTTATCAGGTGTTTTTTGGATCAGGGGATGATGATTAAACTATGACTTCCACACGTGCTGGAGCAGTATTTCAGCCATGTTGGGGTGACAGCACTGTAGGACGCTATCCTAAGGGATTTTGTGACACAGGCAGTGAATGTACATTAAAGGCAGCAGCTTTTTTTTATATTCTTCTGTTGCGGTACAATATTTGGATGTTGTATGAAAAGAGAGGACCTACTCTCTGACACTTCCTCACTACTACCTTCCCTGGAAAYGATTCAATGCAAAGAGAAGTTCTTGAAAGAAAAGAAAAAGAGCCTCAAATAAAAAGATTTAAGCCTGGTTTACAYGTGATGTTTGGGTTGGGGCTTTTTGTACGAATATCACCGAATTGCAGATATGTAGACAACATGTACCAATTCCTGTATTAAAAAATAAATACTGTTCTAGCAGATTATGGCACTACAAACATGTTAACCTTGGCATAGTTTTACTACCTAAACTCTCTTGCAGTATATTGAGATAATTATCTAGGATTTGGGTTCYGTTTGTGTGTTTTTCATGAATAGGTCAAGCTGTAGGCAGTTGATACCTAATCACTGTGATTTSCCTTCTGCAGCAAAGTGGCTTCAGGTGCTGTGGGGAGCCTTACCATGCAGGACCCTGTTGGGAGCAGCAGCAAGGCTGATAAGTTTTTATTATTAGAAGCTTGATATATTTCTTCTTCTGTGGATGCTGCACCGGAGGCTTGATTATGGTTTGCTGTAAGGAAAATTACAAAATAAGAAAGGTTAAGATGCCTTTCGCATAGAACKGAGACCCAGCCCTGCCCTTTCTCCGCCGCTGGACACGAGCACAACACAGAACAAGGGGGGARGCTGCCAGGTGCCGCTGCCGCACAAAGCCCAGGTGGGAGCGATTTTGCCGTCAGGGCCCTGGCAGCAGGAGCCGTGCGGGGGCTGAGGGCCGCGGGCCGGGCCCCTCGCACACACTGAGCCCGCTGATGCTCCGGCCGCTGCCTCCGCCCGCCATTGGCCGCACRCAGCCCTCCCCCACTCCCCTCCCCTCCCGGAGCGGCGGGAGCCGGCCAGCGGGGCTCGGGCGCTCCCCGGCAGCGGCGGGGTTCGTGCGCTCCCCGAGCGAGCGCTCCCGACCGGCGGCGCCGGGGCTGGGCCGAAGCGGGGCCGCCCCCGCCGGCGGCTGAGGT